TTCATCGGCATAGCACGACATTTCCTCAGCATCACCTGCATCACTTCCAACAGCCACTTCATGTTGATCACCTCTCAATTTTGCTTTCTTACGTTTCTTCATTGATCTCTTGGGAGACTTACCATCGGATCGTCCAACGGAGTCGGAAAGATCCTCAAGCTCATCCCCACTTTCTCCATCAATGACCAAGAGACCTTCGCCTTCCGACGTTGAGCATCCATCATCAAGAACTGCCATGATCTTTTCCACACAAGATGATTTTAACTTTCTCTTCTCTTGATCGACACTCACATAAGGAATGCAGTCTTTGACAGTCATTTCGATGATGTTGCCATTGGGATCTAACATGAAAGGAGTCCTTCCAGTCGGCCATACGAATGAGTATCCAAGGTCAACGCACCGCTTGCCCATGGAGATCACAGAAGGCGTGTCTTCCAGGATGTGAGCTTCTGCTGGTTCGTTGAATGCCTCGAACTTGATACTTGAACGTTTGGTCGAGCATGTTACCCCATTTGCTGTATGGAAGTTGACGACTTTGTCATCATATGTTGGGAGATCCATTCTACTTATTCGTGTAGATGAGATGAGATCATGACCACTTCCAGAATCCAATATGAATCTCTTATCTCTTTCCTCAACAGGAACAGTGATACACATTGTGTTGCCCCTTTTACCATATCGACCCTCAATATGCTGAACATAGTTCTCCACAAAGACTTCCCTGGACACCTCACCGTCCTCGATGTCGAGTCTGATCAGAATGTCCAGGCTGGGGCCGACAATGACCAGGACTTCATCAATGTCACTGTACTCACCCTTCTCATCGATCAGAATAGCCATTGCTTTCCCTCGGCTCGATGCTAATCTGCATGAATAAGACCATTGCTCATCTTGCCTTATCTGATCGGTGGGCTTACCAACTTTACCATGACCTTTGGAGATGGTTTGGGATTTCCGGCTGCACTTCACGAAGTCCTTCTTCACGTACGTTTGGACGTAAGTCTTAGACTCATCGAATCTGACCTTCTTCTTGACGACGTTCGATGCCACCTTGTGGAACGTCCCTTCGTCATCACTCCATTCATGGACAAGTGCAGGAGTAGCCTTCGAGCCTGATGCTTCGGTGTTTGGAGCAGTGTTGAATAGATGAGGATCATGGCGTTTGTTGCATTTATCTCCATATCGGCACTTGCCCTTAGCCCAGTGCCAGCATGGTTCATCAACCTTCTTGGTCTTGTTCGCTGGAGATTGACTTCTTGGAGTTCCTGGCTTTCGACCATTACCTTTTGCGTTCTTGTTCGCATCAAACACCTTCTGGTCGTGACTGTATTCACAATCTTTGCCTTTTCTGCATGCTTTCTTGATGAAATGGAAGTGGCATGGGATCTTCTTCTTGGATCTGGGACTAGCACTTCGACTGTTTGGTCGGTCCTTCCCTTTCCCTTGACCTTTTCCTTTTCCTTTTGCATGCTGTTTCGGTTGAGGTGATGGTAGAACTGGAGCTGCATCGGCCTTGGCCTTCGCCTTAGGTGCTGCCTTCTCCTTGGGAGTGGCCTTAGGCTTCGCTTTCGGATTAGCATCTGGCGCAGCAGCAGTTGGATTTGGGGCAGGAGCAGTAGGCTTACCACCACCTGCAAAGTCTCTTGCATACTTCTCCCTAGCGGCTACATGCTTGTCTTCCCTGATTCTGGAGATGTGCCTTTCGATGACGTCCAACAGATAGCGATAGCTTCGTCTTTGGCCTCCTTCAATCCATGACTCGTACTGCTTGATGTCGAACATCATAAGACTCGAGTTTCGAATCTTCTTGCATAGAGCGTCACGAAGCCAATCATCAGGAGGTACATCATCTGGCATCATATTTGATACCATCTCCATCCATTTCTCGTAGAACACTTCCAAGTTGGGGTCACCGAGATACTTCATCGATACGATGTGCTCGATAGTGAAGGCTGTCTCTCGTTGACCTGGTGTTCTGAAGTGTTCCAGGATCATAGCCAAGATTTCTCGTCCCATAACATAGGTTCCTCTTCGACTATGACTCTGCGTTCTCAATCTCAGTTTGATTGCCACATGACGAGCAACATCACCGGCTTGGGCTATAACGTTTGACAATGCAATTGACAACTTGGCGTCGATTGACTGGTATCGTTGCCCGCCACTGTCATTCAGCAGCTCAATGTCAGGATTTGGTCTTATAGCCGGCTGTAGCCATGCTTCCCACGCAGCTTTGTCTCCATCATTTGCAGCAAGAACAACACTCTTGATGAGATCTGATTGCCAAACCCCAAGATTCTGTTGCTTCGGCCATGGGCTAACATAGACTTTGTCAGCCTCCCGTCTTGACATTCTCGGTACTTCTTCTGCCGTGTAAGCCGCTGTGGAGACGTCATCTGCTGAATCACGTTGTGATCCTCGAACTGAAGGCAAACCAGGAGGTTCTGGAGGTGGTCCTGGACCGTTGGGCCCGAAAGGGTCAGGAGGTCCATCAGGGTCAGGCGGACCGCCCCATCCGCTCGGAGGCTTGTAGTAGTCCTTTTCAGTTCCATCGGCGATCTTGTTGTCAACTTCTTTCAGCAGATCGGTGATTCTTTTGTTCGATTGAGAAGATTGCTGTTGAGAGGGTCCAGCATGTCCGCGATAGGAATGAGCCATATTTGTCTCATAGGTCAGCTCCTTGTCGATCTGCGAAACCCAAGATTTTAGGATAGCGTTCTCAGAGTTAGCCTCACTCACGTCATTCTCCAGTTTGTCAATGACCAGTCTTGATGCGAGATCATAGTTGGGGATGCCTGCCGAATAGGGAAGTGTATCAGGGCTGACCCTAGACATAGATGTTTCAGAATCCTTGAGACTCTTTCTCAGTTCATCTAAGTGACGTTTCATGTCAATAATTTCAGAATTCTTGATACCGATCTTTTCATCCCTATCCTGAATTTCCCCCATGAACATGCATGATCTCTCATATTGTTGAACACCACTAGCCAATTTCATTTTGCGCTCACTCTCTAGTTCAGATCTTAAAGTTCGGACTTCAGCATTGGTGAGGGACGACGCCCCTACATCCGCAACTTCAGTCAATCTTTCTTTTAACAACATGTTCTCCTGTAAACATTCATGAACTTCATGATCTAGATCCTGAACTCTGATTTGAGCTATTTTGGCTTGGTTTCGTAGGTCTTCAACAAGCATCTCATCAGGGCCACGACCGTCGATCGTAGTGCCCTGAGTCAATGATTTTCGCAACTTCACGTTCTGCTTTTTGATCTCATCCTTCAACTCACAGTTCATCTCCTGCTCGTTGGCGTAGAGCTCTTCATAGTGCTCTGCCCTTGCGATCGAATTCGCACTAGCCTGTGATTCAAGCCTCAGGTGTGATATAGCTTCGGCCTCATGATTCCTGTATGATGCAATTCTTCTGACAGTGTCATGCTCAGTGTTTCGGTGCTTCAGATCACTTTCCAATTTGGCCTGATTTGCCTCGAAAACCTTCTTTCTAGATTCTCTAGTGATCTCTTCGATACTGCTTTCATACAACTCGGCCTGTTTACGAGATTGAACGAGAGCTTCACTCAATAGCTGATTCCGTTCAGACAATTCATGAACTGTAATTGATTGTTGTTGACTAATCATTTCAAGTTGATTGCTTGAGAAGGATGCCATTTCGGATCGATTACGATATTCCACGATTGAGTTCTGGAAATCCGTCTGCATTTCTTGACCTTCAGTGTACAATCGGTTGGCAATATCGGTAGTTAAGACATTGGTCTGATGAAGTTGTTGCAGTCTTGCCTCCGTATTACCCCATAGTCCTTGAAGGTGGTGTACTTCATCCTTGTACTCTTCCTGGATCTCCATACCGCGTTGATGGATTCGTCTTGCACCATGTTCCATCAGGGCACCTCGGCGTTCAAGGTCTTGGATGCGTATTGTTGCACCCTCGTCTTCCTGAGATGCTACCATTCGTTCTGCCTGATATTCTGCAACCTCATTTGCGGAACATGACAATCTATGATTGAGTGCATTGACCTCATCAACTACATTCTGGTTGTGTTCCTGAAGATACTCAGTGAATCTGATCTCGATGTCATGAATCAGTTGATCTCTTGACGCAGCATATGCTTCCATGTGGTTCAACTGATTACGTAGGGATTGACATTGTGCCCGTAGTTCTTCTATCATGGCAATAGGTTCACTAGCCACAGAAGTATCCGTTGATCTCCTCTTAACACGACTATCCCCGGTCCTCTCACCAATTCGGTCGGTTACGGCCCTGGTGGATCTGTCCCTTGGGGCAGTTCGTCCTCGAGATGGTCGATGCCCTTGGCGGACAACATCACTTCGAGCACTGTTTCGAGAAGATCTTGGTGTACTTTGGGTGGATATTCTTCGTCTGTTTGATGTAACTTGCCATCCGGACTGTGTAGTTCGGGTAGAGCGTATCCCACCACTGTCTGCCGTGTCGCCAGGGGAAGATTGAGTGACCTCCTCGACCGGCATAGCAGTGTTCTCATTGAAGGTAAACTGCGTGTTGCGCGAATCTCCGCTGCCGCCTTGCATCTTTGCGATGACGAGCTGATTGGTCCTTTGCGTCCACAATCAATTGCTGACAGCCCGGCTACCAGCACGCAGGTACTCCTCTCCCGACGGGAGAATTGAGCCCTTACGGCTGATAACCTGTGAACAAATAGATCCTTGTTCTGGATATCTTATTCTCGGAGTCCCTGATGTGCTGAAAGTCGGGCTTATCCCACCATGAGACGGCAGCACGCGCAACTTGTTTTACTTGAGCCATAAGGCGTCCGATGCACATGTCATATGTATGCTACACATGCAGTGCTATTGTTGAGTTCCCTTTGACATATATTATACTATATTATATATATTATATTATTTATACATACATATGAAGGTGTCCTAAAATGGGAGTAGCCCATGGTTGTTTCAAAAGTACCCCCCCATGACTTCGGAACCCAAAAAAGACTCATCCACCACGGCACTGTCCCACGTTGGTCACAGTGCCCGTATAGGAAGCATTCGTATCCACTTCCGCCAAAGGCGTGGCACCATCGTGGGACCAGTCCTTTTTTGCCACAAACATGATGGTAAAATACCAAAAACTTATCGGGATATCGTGGGAATATCGGGCAGTTGGAAAGTGCCCGAACTAAATCGAGGGTTTAAAGTCAAAATCATCTGAAGTAAATAATGGAAATTCCATTGATGGGACAACTGAAAATAATGTCCCAATTATTTTGTTATAAATGGGATAAGTTGAAGTATAGAAACTTATTTGGGACGAGCCGTAAGTTTCATAACTATTTGGGCAGTTCCAGTGTGCTAATTGGATATAGTTCATCATAGTTCTGGGGTTAAACTATGCCAACTCATAGGGGTACCCTGCAGTATGGCTCCCACTACCAACTTGGACTTGCCATTTACCATCATCTCTGTGAATTATCTGGTTGGTGAACTGTTTTTTCTTCGTATCCCACTTGCCAAAAATTGGAGTATGACTATAACAGTTTCCCAATATCTTGCTGAATTCTCTGGCTTCTCGGTGACCTCAGCCAGCGACTAAACCTCCATGTCTGGTCAAATCAGCTGCTGATCAAACATGGTGGTTTCCTCTAAGCCCCCCATGTTTCTTTTTCCACTGCGGATATTGAAGTATGTATGTATACATATATATATATACATACATACATACATCCATCCATCCATCCATCCATCCATCCATCCATCCATCCATCCATCCATCCATCCATCCATCCATCCATCCATATATACATACATACATACATACATCCATCCATCCATACATACATATATATATATATATCATGAAACTCAACCACTACTGTAAAAAATATATATATATATGTATATATATATGTATATATATATGTATGTATATATATATATTGCAACCCCATAAAATGGTATGTTACCATGACACCATTTTACCCCATGATACACCATGCTGGCCTTCCCCATTGGGCCGAAACGGGGCCGTCGACGACGGCGGCCGCTGTTAGCAAAGATTTTGCAGAGGCGAGGTGTCCAAGCGTTTCCACTGGATTTAATGACCAGTAAAATTCAATGATCTATAGTGAATGGGATATTGCAGTGATTCAATGGGATATTAATGGGATATACCTTCTGGTAATTTAACAGTTCGCTATTGAAAATGGCCCATTTACAGTTGATTTGCCGAACTTAAAGATGATGATTTTCCATAGCTATGCTAGTTGACCCGAGGGTAATCACAAAAAATCACGGATCCTGAATGAAACATGGAGTTATCATGAGTTATCATGTTTCCATGAATTCGTTTCGACATCTAAAACCAGAAACTCATGTGTTTACTTGCCTGTAATATGGGATTCCTGCAAATTTTCGCGTCAAAATTCTGGGAATATTTGAGATGCAGGACATCCTACATCCATTGCATTGTCTTATCATTTATTATCGAATATTCTGTGAACATATAAGTGAAAATTGGTCATCGATCGTTTGGATACAAATCAAATCACATAGACACCTCTATATCTTATATGTACAACACGTGCATGTGTATATATATATATTGTATATTATACATATATAGATTGCACTGTGCGGTACTGTCGGGTGCTATGTATCCAAAGCAGAGGGTTTCAGATCCAAGAGAGGTCTGGCAGTATCGGGAAAGGAAAGGCTAAGCTCGGATACTGAAGCAAAAAGTTCACTTTCAGCTGGGTACCACTCTATACAAGTATGTATTTCCTCATTTAAAATCATCCGAGCATTTCGCAGCGTTTCGAAACCTCTGTGATTCCAGTAGGTTAAGAAGGGGATTCCCAGCTCGTGGATTGCTGACCGAAAACCAAAGCAATGTACCTCGACCCTCCGCACGGAGTGTGCCAAGGTCCGAATGGCCTGAGGTCAAAGATGGGAGGATCTTACAGATGTTGAGCACTAAACTATAGAGCCTCAATCTTACAGATATAGAATGATATAGATATAGTCTAACTCTACATAGTCCTATATAGATATAGCACGACAAACACACATAGATCCAGCTGACCTCCCCATAGATCCAGGCGCCATCCTCTGCCTGACAGGCAAGGGCTGTCACCGTTGTCACCGTTGTCACCGTTGTCACCTCCCAGAAATGATGTCATAGAAATGGATGGGTATGGATGGGTAATTGGAAAATTCTTCCTAGATCATGGTAGATATTGGTAGATCAATGGACAATTATGTGATATATGGAAAAATATGCAAAATGGCCATTGTCATTTGCCATTGCAATTTGCCATTGTTCCCACAAATGTGAAGAAAATTCATCAGCTTCATTTTTCAGATCATGGCAAATGTAGATCATTGCTGGTAGATCATTTGCCGACAAATGTGATTTCACCCAGCAATTTTTGTCAGAAACCACCGGCGCCTTCCCATGACCACCCCAAAGGAAGGTGACCCAAGCCTGACGGAAAAGCTGCCAGCTGGGAAATCCTCCATTTTAATGCAGCTATTGGAACTATTCTTGTAGAAAAAAATTGGATCAACAAGTATGATCTTGGAGATTTAAGCGGAAATGGTGAACTCAGGTGAACTCATAGATCTCAAAAATCCATTGGATCGATCACAGAACACGCGAACTGGAAGCCATGGCCCAGTCGAAATAGTGAGGTTTCCCATTAATGGCATGGTGATTTTCCACAGTTATGTTAGTTTGCCAGAGGGAAAATGTTTGGTCAATAGCCTAGAACCTATATGTCTGGTAAATGACAATATTTTATTGATAGGTTCAGGTAAATGACCATATTTTACTCACCTGAAATCTTGAGCCAGCTATGGGGATGATTCCCCTATACATTCACCATGATTCCGGGCTTCGGTCACTATAATTTACCCAGATCTTCTGGCTATCATATCAACTAAATCCCTATCCCTAATCATTATCAACCATTGTTAACCAGCATTATGAATCACTATAAACCATTGGCAACATCATCATGAATCATGAATCACCATCATCATTATTAACTATAAGTAACACCTATAAAATCTTATAAACCATGATTATCCATAATGTTCCTTCGCTGTCTTCGAGGGATATGACCTGTCTTCGGGGTAGCCGCACGGTGGCCTCTGTGGCGGCCAGAGGCCGCGAAATGGGAACGACATGGGGCCTCGGCCGGGCCTCGAGGCCCGAGTGGAGTGACCTGACTTCTCATGTGACCATAGATTGTATATGTACTAATGTACCTATTATTATAAGTATAAGCAATACATACCATAAGATATACCGTTACATACCATACCATATCATATATATATACATTGCATGTATAATATTGTATAATAATATGTATACATAGTTACATGTAATGTAATTCTACGATGTACAGGAACGCGGTGGAAACTACACTACATTTTGCAACGCAGAGATGTAATTTTTTTGAAAGAAGATTGCCGGGTGATTTTGTGCAACATGACCTTTTTGTTTTACGTCCGTATCAATCCATGTCACATTGATGTAATGATTTCTTCCACCTACCCAAAGCATTGCAATCGCCAAGTCGTCCCTTCATGGGTGCTGCCACAGGAACTGGCAACACCCATGGGATAACACCAGGAATAGGGTGCCAATTGGCTGGACTCGTTGTTTATGGCATTGGATCCCACATAAAAAAACCCAGCTGGTAATTTATATAACATCGCCATGGAGAATGACTCACTGGTTGTAATTCAGTGATTTACCTCTTGTTTCCATATGTTTCCATGGTCCTTTTTTCCAATAATTCGATATGTTGAATTACCAGAAACCAGCAAGGCTTCAGGGCAAGGCTTCACCACTGGCAATTTGGGGTGCAGTTCCACTTAAATGTGCATGGTGGTTATCATTGCCAACCTTAGATACCCTGCAAAAAAAGGACAATCTTAGCCACTTAGTAGATACTCCTATCTATAAGGATTTTCAATTAACTAGAGTAGCCATCCAGTTGGTTGACCTTTCCGTGGCGCCGTGGTCGTTCCAGGTCGCACCTCTCCAACTGACTGAAGAGCCGCTGGACGTACGAAGCTTCAGCCACAAGGGCACCTTGTTGCGACAGCGAGCTTCCGCAGAGCCTCAGTGGCATCAAGATATGATCGTTAAGAAAATGATAGTCATGACACCTATAGTTAATGATACTTCATGATACTTGATGACATTTAATGATGGTTTAAGTTGATACTTCATGATATATGTTAATGATATATACATATATACATGTGGGCTTCTTAAGTCATGGGAGATCCCCAGTCCTCACCATACTTGTGTCAAATTTTAAGCCATAGTCCAATGACTGGATGATGGGGGGGCCACCCCCATGACTCAGGACACCTCCAAGTGAGCCTTCTGCAGCTTGATCACTGAGACTCCAGCCCTTCCTTCGATTCCTGAAGGAATAATTCAAAGAGTTGGTGCCATTGGCCACATTCAATAGGCAAAATCATTTCTATGGCTAATTTTCCATATCAAACTGTTCGTTTACTGGAGGGTACCCTCTGGTAAACTGACATAACTATAGAACATCACCATTTCCAATGGGTAAATCAACTATAAATGGTTTTAAATTGGCAATGTTCAATGTCAAACTGTTAGTTTAACAGAGAGTACGAATAATTAGCTATAATTAGTAGTTATTAGGTGTTATTAGTACTTAGTGGTTCTTAGTACTTATTAGTGCTTATTCGTGTGCTAAAAACACAGGCTACACGATCGAAATGGCGCCTGGCTGGTCCAGCGCCGCAAGTGGCGTTGCAGCCGCTCCAAGCGCGGCAAAACCTCGAGGAAACAGTTTGCTATGGAAAATGGCCATGGAAATCCTTGATTGACTTTAGAAAATTGATGTTTTTCCAGAGTTTATGTGAGTTTACCAGTAATCAGCAACCATCACTTATCAACGAGATCCCCATGTGTTGAATGGTTAAACATGTTTAAACATGGTTGAACCATGTCAACCCCCCTAGAAATCATGCTGAGTAGCCCCCGAATTCATCACCCATCACACAATCAGCGTCCATTGGCCACTGCTTCTGACTTCCACGCAATATCTCAATCCATCATCAACATTGAAAAACATTTGGGTGTGTCGGAAAATGGTGAGTGTTTCATGGGATGGGACATATAGAATGATAATTATACAGTATATATGTATATAGAGATAATGCAAAACATTCAATTTTTTTATGGGACTTCAACTGGTATATCATTCCAATCATATGATACAGGAACTTTCCATATATTTTATACGGGAAAATCATGGAAAATCGATGGTTTCCTGTAGATTTTCCCAGCATTCCATTGAGATCTGGCTGAGGTCGCGTCAGCATCCGCAGAGATTAGGACACCTCCACCAGCATGATATCTAGAATCCTAGGAATTGTTTGTACTTTGTTTTACAATATGTAAAATATATGTAATCTATATGGATATATTATAATATATTATATATTATTATTATATATTATTATAGATATAGAGGGAGAGAGGCTATGTCATATGGTTTTTGAAAACGTCTCTTCGAGAAGGTCGAAGAACCCGTCCCACCAAGAGTTGATTTAGCAGCGAAAATCGGCCCTGAGAATTGCGCGACAAAAATTTCGGAAAGATCACCGAAACGCTCCAAAAATGGAAGGGTCGATGAATTTTTCTGGCAGGGACGTGTATTTTACATCATATAAAGTTCAGTACCAATCTTTTGGTGCCTCAATTCCGAAAAAAGGTGATTTGCCAATTGGTATTGATGATTTGTCAGATATCAATCCCAGAGAGTGTTCCAAATAATATCTCAGATAATATGTCAGATGTTTGATCAATAACTATGCTTAGTAAATGTTAGTATTTCCCAGACTCGTGGCTCGTCCTATTATCTATAAATTGCTTGTAACCTGTTAAGACTCAGCAACCATGTAACCTTTGAAAATCAAAAGATTAGGATCTTGATCCTAGGCAATTCTCCATGTAATATCCCAAATAATATATAATTAATATGTATCATATTATATTTGATTTGATATTTATCTGTAATTAATACGGGTTATATCCAAGTTAATTATATCTGATAGGGGTTATAAATATCCATACTATTTCTAAATGGGATACTTAAAAAAAAAAAATAGCATGGTTAAATACAATTAAATGTCTGCATGTCTCTTGTAAATATAGTGATAGTTCGAAATATGTATATTGATATCAACCATCATATTTCACAATCATAATAAATAGTAACACATATAAGAGCAACTATATTTAACAAAATTTGTAATATAATATCCAGTTATGGCTAGTAATATTCCGGATAGCTACAATAGATATTGATATATACTTATACATATACTCCATTTATTAACAGCTTAAATTAAACCTAAATATTAAGAGGCTTCTGTTCCCAATACGTCACTACAGGATGTTTAACATATATATATATATACGTATATATATATATATACGTATATATATATATATACGTATATATATATATATACACAACTAAATATATTATCAATTTATATAGCAATATACTAAATATATCCATAAATCTCCAGTAATGTGGTTAAAACAATGCCATCTGCACCATCCCCCGGTCATCACCATGTTTTTTTTGTGGTATAAACTTACCATTCCCAGTCATGGGTAGGTTATGACATTGTTTTACCCACATTATCATAATTATTCTTGGCATAACCATTTTCATTTGGAGGTTGTCCTAAAATATGGGTACCCCAGTCATCATCCCATGTTAATAGATGGATTGTCCATTCTAAATCCTCTATTTTGGGGTACCATTGATGGAAACCCCAGTCATCATCCCATTTTAATTGTTCTTTATAAACCATCCAGCTATTAAAATCCCATTTCTAAACCAACCATTCTAAACCAAAATATGAGTTCGTCAGTTGGGATGATGACATTCCCAATATGATGGGAAAGTCATAAAATCGTGTTCCAGTCACCACCAACCAGTAATGGGATTGTCCTTTTTTTCAACCAATCAGCTATTGGGATACCCTTTGGTAAACTAACATGACTATGGAAAGATCCACCATTTTCAATGGGTAAATCCACTATAAATCACCATTTTCAATAGCTATGTCAGCCATTACCAGAGGGTACCTCCGAAATCGCTCCGATAGCTCCTCGCCTGCTGCCAGCCTGGCTCCTGGAGCCCGGAAGCCTTCGCCCGGCGCCTGAAACCACTCCACCAGGCGCCGGAGCCTGGAGAAAAAAACCACGGTCACTGGGCTGGGACGGTCACCGGTCATCCCGGGTGGTTTTTGGGGTGTAAAAATGTGTGAAACCCATGGGGAAAATGGGTAAAGTCTGAGAAAAATTGGAAAAAATCTGGGAAAAATGAGAAAAATCTGAAAAAAACAATGGGAAAAATTCGGAAAAGTCTGAAAAATCTGGATGAATTGGGGGAAGAATGTCCAGAAATGGACGCAAAACACCATGAAAAGTTGAAGTTAATTCACCAATAAAAATTGCATGCTGTTGCACGAGTGGCTTTCTCATTGACCAAACAAACAAGCGGTTTGCTGTACTGGGTAGGACCAAACAAACAAGCGGTTTGCTGTACTGGGTAGAAAATGGGAGATATATAATATGATATAATGGGATGTGTTTTACACGATCGTGTGTATTTTGAAATGTTGGCTATTAAATGCTATTAATACCATAAATTCCCGAAGTGGCATGAGCGAAATTAGCAAAACAGCGATTCCACCATTGTGAGATCCTCAGCAAACAAACAAATCCGGCACCATTTTGGGTGTCCTCTAAACTGATTGGTGTCTCTAAATGTCTCGAAATCTACCAGAGATGTTACCTGATGTTACCTGATCCTCTGATCCTGTTCAAGAGGGACAGATTATCGCTGGGCAGAGTCTTGCTAATGTTGAATGGCCACGTGGGTTGCAAACCGTATCGATGTTGAGGATCATCAAGGCATCATCACTTTCAAAACGACCACGGCTGGGCTGATTACCCACCAAGGTGCTGCTGGTCTGCTGTTGCCATCAGTTCTTCGAAGGCCAAATGCTTCTGACGAGACCTCATTGGCCGGCAGCTTTCAACGTCTGTTTTTAACTGGAACGCGCGAGGGAAAGATTGGCAAGTCAAATGCTGTGGGTGCGTGCTCCATTGTACGCAGTCCCGTATTTAGAAGATATCATGAAAGCTTTGAAGGATTCCGCATGCGCAACCCCCCAGCACAAGGTAAGGCCTAGTCAACAAACGAAGTAATTTGATTTGAAAAAGCTGCAGTTTTGGGAGCAGCTCAACACACAAATATGGAACATGAAACGTCAAATATCCAGCAAGAAATGTCCAAAAGTCTAAGCCTCGCCCCAAGGTCATGAAGGTTATACCTCGTTTTCCCATCCCATTCAAAATGGCTGTTTGACGGGGATCCCGTTCGTTTTCGATCATTCATAGACCCCACTCTTTTACCAGGGAGGTTTTACCATAGACAACTCGATTTAAGCATCAACATCAACCAACCGTTTTTTTGTGAAATATATCATTCATGATCTCCGCGGTTTTTTGATGATTTTTTCCGCGGTTAAACCACCATAAAAAAAATGCAGAAGATTCATCGCAGCAACTTTCGCTGGGGCCTTTTTTCGAGGGATCTATCCGTACTGTGTTTCACATATCCTCAACCTTGGCAAGGTACTGGAAGTGGTCGGCGCCACTGGATCCACCATGGTCTCGTACATTTTGCCAGGAATCATCTATGTTGGGGATTTCAATCCATTTTCAGAAGTTGACGGGCAATACTCCGTCTGCCAAATCACTTTGGCTCAAGGCTGAAAATCTGAGTTCAGCCGCCTTTGCGTGGTCATCAGCCGTATCCAGAGATCGGCTAACCGCCATTGCGCTTTCCTTTTTGTGCGGCTGGCTTCTGGTTCATTGGTGCTGCTGCTGCCGCTGCTGCTGATTGAGTGTCTCCTTTGCGCTGCTCTTTCCATCACCATTGCCTAGCTTTCGAGCAGGAACTGCCTCTTCTGTTTCTTGGCGTTGCAGCATCAGTGCATGAGCGAGGACGGGCTGCGCAGGGCAAACAAACGTGGTGGCAAAAAGGTACAGAAAAAGCGTAAGCTCTGGGAACAAGTTGAAGCCGGGCAACATACCCCTCAAACAAAGACTGAAGTTCGCCCCATTCATTTGGAGGGTGAGGCATCTTCAGGTGCTAGGTCTAGCTCAGCTGTTTCGGTTTCTAAGATTAGCACTTCTGTTGTGGCAGTTTCCAAAACCACTGAAAGCGGGGTGTATATCAACGATCCAGTGTCGAGCTTTCCTCCTCCATTGCCGCAGCAAGTTGCAGTGGGGGGATCATCTAGTGGTTGTAGGCCGTTGCTTAGCCATCCCTTGCCTCCACCACCAGGTCCGTCACCCGCAGTTGCTACTCCAGTTAGTCTTCCTAGTCCTTTGGTTGAAAGTTCATCCGGAGACCATTTGGCCCCTGAAGCTGTGAAGGCTAAATTTGAGGGAACCCCCAAAACTGTTGAGGCACAGGTCTTAGGAAAGGCGTTGCCGGGTCAAAGCCGTGTAGAACCCCCTCCAAACTCAAAGGTTAAAGTTTCTGTTGAAAAGAGCTCATCTTTGGTTGTAGCTAAGGGTAACAGGTCTGGTCTGCCGGTGCCCATCCCCAAAGTGGTTAGTGCGGTTATCGGTGGTAGTAAACAGGAAGCCTGGTTGAGTGTGGATTTCAACGGCGTTTGTAACATCCCAGAGAGTGGTGACCGTGAATCTGAAGGCATTCATCAGTACAACATTCCCATCCTTTTGAATTTCATAAACACTGTGTGCAGTGAGCGTGGTTTCAGATTAGGAATTACAAGCTACATTGGAGTTCGAGGCCAGTTGAGTCAAACAAGAAAACACGAGTTGACAAATTCTGTGCGTGAATTCAACAGAGCTGTGAATCCTAGTTTGCGCCTTGGTCTTAGAATCGTTGCACACAAGACAGACAAAGCGTCTTTTCTCGACGAGGCCCAGGCGGCCCTTCACATTGACGATCGATTGGATCTCTGCGATCACATTAATCAAGTCAATTCGAGGATTAAGACGGTTCTTGTTACTAAGCCCTCCAAAAGACGGTATCATTGCACACATTGGGTCTTCAATTCTCTGCGGGATTCTTTGGAAGCAGTTTCTAACGGAACTATCAGGGTGAACTGCCAGCTCCACTCTCGCGCTTTTGAAGAGTTCTGGGCTGTTCCAAGCTGAGTGCTTCTCTTTCTCTGCGGAATCTGAGCTGCATTGGGGGGTTGCATCGGAGATGCAAGACTCGAGTTCGAGCTTCCAGCTCACGGAAAGTAGCGGGATTGGGAGTGTGGGAGGGATGCCAGGAAGGATCGAAGGAGAAACCGCTAGTGCTGCATCAAGAGGATCTTCTAGTGGTTCATCTAGGTCAAAAGTGAAACAACTCCACAAAGTCACCCAAAGAACCGGAAGACCCCCACCATCAGTTAGAAGGCAGGTTCACCCAATGGAAGAAGCCGCTTCAGCATCTCCAAGCGGATCGTCGTTGCCACCTCTCGAAGATAGGACGCAGGCACAGATGATCGAGGACTCGGAGGAGCTTCCTCCATTGGAACGGGAAGGTGACGGGTCGGGTGTTCAGTTCTCTCAAACTTTTAATAACCAAAGGGCTTTTCATGATCAAAGATCCATTCACATTCATAACCCCGAAGCATCATTAATAGGGAGGATGGCTGAAACAGCCGCATCAGCAATGGTTTCGGAGGCGAAAGCCGAGGCCACCCAAGTAGTTTCAGGGATTATGACTCAAGCTGAGCAGGCTGTGTCCTCAGCACGAATTGAGGTCGCACAGGCACAGACTAGGGCCGAAGCCACTCATGCAGTTGCAAGTAATGAAATTAATAGCTTGAGGTCCCAATTGGAAATTATGAGAAATGAGAACATGGAGTTGAAAAGTAAGTTCCTAGAGGCCACAGCACAACAAGCTCAAAACAGCCAAGCCAGTAATGGAGCGGAATGGTTTCAACATGCCATGAAGGAATTGGAATCTATTGTCAAGGACTTAAGGGATTCAAATGTTGTTCCGAGGGTTAATTCCATTGAGTCAAAGATTCATGCTTTGGAGCAGCAGTTGCACACCCACCAAACTTTTCTGCAAGAATTATGGTTGGAGCGATCGAATCCCCCTGTTCCCCAGGAAGTGACCCCTCCGGTTATTTCGCAGGTTCCTTACTTACCTTCAGGAGCAATTGTTCAACCATGTCCTGTTGCACCAGCTGAACAAATCTCACCAGTGAGAACTCCAGTTCATTTCAATTTGTGGGAAGAAGATCAAGGGAAAGGTTCGGAAGGTAGTGAAGCCCCATGGGTTGATTTAGGTCAGGACCTCGAAAAGACGTCACTTCGAACGAAGGACCTCCATCATTTGAAACTGCCAGCGATTCCAGAATCAGCAGCCCAGTACCGAACTTGGAGGAACTCTGTGAGAACGGCAATTCTGGCGTTCGACACGAGCATGGAAGGCCACTTGGGCCCATGGCTCTCGAAAGCCTTTGTTGCAAGGGGGTCGGATTCGCTGGAGTTGGCCAGGGATAGTGGGAATTTCCCCAGGTGCGATAGGGTAATTGCAAGCCTTCTTTGTCGCCAGGAGTCTCTCAGGTCTAGTTTTGGGTTAAAAATTCAATCTTACGTTGAGAGATGCGAAATGAATGGTGACAACATTCGAGGGCGTTACATTCTCAATTTGATTTCAACAGAATTCGACACTGCGAACGTTTCCACATCGATCACGACAAGTCTTGAACTTTTCCAATTACCATCACCTCAGGAAAGTGTATCCGGATTGAGGCATTGGCACGATAAGGTAACCTATATTTTGTCACAGCTTGCAATCCATCAACGTCCAGCAGATGACATGCTTTCCCATTGGGCTTATAACTCCTTGAAACGACACCCGTTGCTTAGGCGAGTCATTGACAGGTATCAGGAACTCCCTGCTTTTAGAACATTTGACTTTCTATGGGAAGGGGTTGAGACGGCTTTGCGCGAGTCCCAGCATGATTCCAACGCTCAGTCTATCAGGGATGATCTTCGTAAGGGTCCCCCTCCTCCGTCAAAGAAATCCCAACAAGAAGCAAAAGGTGTTGTTGCTCCAAAAGGCAAAGGGAAAACCAAAGATGAGAAGAAACCCGAAGCCAAGGCAAAAGCCAATCCAAAGGATTCAAAGTCTTCAGATTACAAGGGCAAAGGGAAAGGTAAGGCTAACCCCAAAGCAGGTCAACCTTCACCTCCCAAGGCATCCAACAGTGGGGGAACCCCACCACCGTGTATTTTCCATGCGCGCGGGAAGTGCACACGGGCTAATTGCCCTTTCTCTCATGACTCACAAAGTGTTCCGGCCAATCCTGCACCATCTTCCATGCCAAAGGCATCTGCACCAGTGCCAAAGGCTAAGGCTGCAGCGGCAATGGTAGCTTTCTTAGGAGGTTTGGGGCCTGTTGTGGGTTTGACATCTACGTTGGATCCTACTTCCACCGGTTTCTTGGATTTCATTGGCGATACCGGAGCCGGGGAGTGCCTTGGATCACCTGAAGCACTGAGGAAACAGGGGATTAACCTTCCTTCCTCTTATTTTTCGGATACTTCTTACCCTTTGAAATTTGCTACTGGGGGTGGCTCCCAACAGGGGTCCACCACGGTCGGATGTTGGTCAGATGAATTTCAACGGCTTTCCAATATCTACATGTTACCCCAATGTCCATTGGCTCTTTCAATTGGGCAACTTTGCAATGATGGGTTTACCTTCATGTGGCCGTCAGGTCAACTTCCCTTTTTGGTTCCACCCTCATCTCACGTGACATACCAGGTTGACGGTCCCACCATTGAGGCTCATAGGATAGAACATAATGTCCCAGTTTTTCGCGTCTCCACCGAATTTGTTCCCGGCATGCCATGTGTGTCATCGGGGGGGGGGAATACCGGTCATGAACTTTCACCAGCTCTTGCCTCTCACAGCCCCGAAGAACCACTAGAGGATGAAAAGCATGATGGGGATAGGGGAGAAGATGATGAACTGGATGATGCACCGCTCACAGAGAATCATCTCCTGACTCACCTCCCGAAGTCTCGTAACTGTCCTGTGTGTGTTCGAGCGAAGCTTTATGAATCTCCGCATCTAAGAAGGGCCAACCAACGGGAGTCACTAAGGGAAATCCGAGATGTAGAAGAACCAGTTGAGCCATTAGAGAGGGTTGCATGTGATCATGTGATTTCACGAACTAGCTTGGGGAATGGGGGCGAAACATGCTCTTTTGTCATTGTTGACCGGTACAGCGGATTAGTAGGAGTAAAACCATGCAAATCCAAAAGTTCAGAAGAGGTCGAAGACGCTTTTCGCCGGTTTTGTGGGAGGAAGAGAGTGGGGATTGTTTCGGTCGGGAGTGACAGGGCCCCTGAAATCCTTTCAGCCTTGAAGCGGTTGGGATTTGACAGTGAGCCTTCTGAACCTCGTCAAACCCTACATAACCCCTATGCTGAATCATTCATCCGAACCCTAAAAGGGATGACCTCATCACTTCTCCTTCAGGCAGGTTTAGGTCATGAGTTTTGGCCATTGGCGCATCAATACATCGAATGGGCACATCCAATTACTTCAATTGCAAACGGTGAAGGGTCTATATCCAATTTTGAACTGCACCATGGTTATCCTTATGAGGGCTTCAAAATACCGTTTTGTTCACTGGTATGGGTTAAGGACTTGAATCCCCAACCTTTTGACCCCAAAGGGGAACCAGCGTTGTTTTTGGGTGCTGAGTTGAATGGTGGCATGAAATTCAAGGGTCTCTACAGAGTCCTGCCGTTGGCTGCTTTCAAGGAAGGGTCCATGAGGGAGAGGGCTGTAAGGACACTTGCAATTCCTCCAGGCCCATGGCAGTTTCCTGCTAAGGTGGAAGGAAAGGATTCACTGAAGCTGGACCCAATGCCAGGGTACCTTGGGGACTTTAGGGATGAGAAGGGTGATGAAAAGGATGAACATGCTAATTGGGAAAAAGAACTTGCACAGTTTCACAAAGAAATGGAAGAAATGGCAGAAAACAAGGGTGATGATATCAGCCCTGCGAGAACCGCGGGTGGTACCAAAGCTCATTCCGAAACAAATTTGAAAGGTAAAGCAGAAGCTTCCAAGGAAGTAGGGGCTAGGAACAGGAACATTACAGCAATCAGGTTAGCAATTCATGGCCCTAGCAAAGGATGTCAAGCTTGTAAGGATGGAACATATTCTCACACCCAGGAATGCCGAGCTAGATTTAATGAACTTCTTGACACTTCCGAACCAAAGAAAAGCACCAGAAGTAAACCAATTCTGTGCGAGGATTTACCTAGCGATGCTCGTGAATCATGTCCTGAAGGCGATGATTTGGAGGACGCAGCAGACATTTCAGGTCTGATAAGCACAGCAACTGGTAGTTTCGTCAGCAAGCATTCAAATGACATCGAAAGGGGCAATGAGGTGGTGGCTGGCGTCTTGGTGGAATGTTTGGAAAACGGGGACGGAATCGAATCTCAATTGGCCGAACGTTTTCACTCAGTTTGTCAATCGCTTGTTGCACCAACGAAAAACAAATCGGACAACCCCAAAGAATGGTTTGTTGAGTTTTGTTGTTCTTCAACCAGTTCATGTTGCCTTGTTGCACAGCACTTTGAAATTCCTTATCTTGGTTTATCAAAAGATTTTGGGGACATTCTTGACGACGGTGTGTACGAACAAATTGAATACTGGATGCATGAGAGAGTTCAGATGGGGGAAAAGGTTCATTTGTTTGGGTCAATTCCATGTGGGCCATTTTCACCATTACAAAATCTCAATCTCGCAGTTCAGGGTGAACCGTACCAAGAGTATCTCCAGGACCAAAGACGGAAATCATTAGATATGGTTGTAAAGTTCGACCATCTTTCTGAAGTAGCTATTCTTTCGGGAGGAACCAGTTCTTTTGAGTGGCCTAAGGAATGCCGGGGATGGAAGGAGAGCGAAGTCCTTTCCATGATTTCAAGGTTCAGTATGTTCGCATGTTATCCAACGGGATGCGGTTTTGACTTGACAATCCAAGGCAAGAAACCCCTCAAAGAATGGCGTATTGTCACTACTTCCCAAAGGTTAGCCTTTGAACTCAACAAATACCAGTGTAAACACCCTCCATGTTTTCGTCACGATGATATCATTGGGGGGGGGCATTGCCGAACAAAGTGGATTCTACAACCTCAAAATGGCAACGGTAATTGTTTCCTCATTGTGTCTTAGGACTGTTTTGACTCAGGTTCCCAAAATGCCAACTGTCAAAGGGGTCATGGCTCATGAAGAGCAAGGGCTCTGGTTAGCTCAAGAAGTTTTGGCATTAGTTCACCGTCCACTTACTCGGGATGAAATAGCTCAGAGCCCAAGAGCCAAAGAGGCATTGCTTAGTGAAGCTTCTCAGATGAGGTCGCTAGGTGTTTGGGATGAGAGCAGAGCAATCGAGGTGGATGAGTTGATGAATAGGTGTAGGCTTAGTGGTGAGTCTATTCACATTTCCGAAATCATGCCTATTTGTCATGTCAAAAACTCTGAGCTTCCCCCGGAACAGCAAAAGCTTAAGGGCAGGCTAGTTTTCAGGGGAGACGCTTGTCGCAATGAAAAGGGAATCAAGGCAATTTACCGGGAAATCAAATCTCTTCCAGCAACCGTACACTCCATCAACATTGTTTTATATTATGGATTACGAGAGGGTAACAAGGTGGAAATCTCGGACGCGACAAAAGCCTATCTCCAGGCGCCGCTGAAATCTGAGGTACCCACTTGGGCAATCATTCCCAAAATTATTTGGCACAACCATTGGTTCAAGAAATATAAAAGGGTTGCATGTCCACTTGTTCGTGCACTCTATGGACATCAGACATCTGGTGATGATTGGTTTGACTATTTCGACAGCACCTTGGTTGACAAGATGAAAGGTTGCCGAATAGAAGAATTTCCATCTCTATGGTGGTTTGAAGAGTGGGAAGTGCTTGTTGCTGCTTACGTTGATGATGTTATTGCCTCGGGGCCCATTGCTGGGGTAGATTCATTCTGGAAAGAAGTGTGCAAACATATCACTTTTGATGAGATCACGTCTCCAGGCAGGTATCTTGGCCGGGATCACTTAATTTTTGAACTCGGGAAGGGCAAGACTGTCTTTATGGCAATGACTGATTATGCCAAGTCAGCCTATGAAATGTATGAACATGAGTTTGGAGTGTTGAAACCGCATGAGACACCATTTGTTTCTGATTCAATGCTCACTACTGAAGGGTTTGAGTCCCAGGGGCATTTGGCTGGGAGCGCTGCTTCATTACTCATGAAACTGTTATGGTTGGCAAGGCTGTCACGCCCAGACCTCTCCTTCTCTATAGTCAGTTTGGCGGGTTCAATATCGAAATGGTCAAGAAATCATGATCTTCAACTAAAAAGGTTGTTGGGGTACGTGAAGCATACTTATAAGATGGGTCTTTGGGGAGTAGTTCCGCACTCAGGTGTTCCCAAGTTGAATGTTTACTGTGATGCTGACCTAGCTGGTGACCATTTGACATGCAAGAGCCATTCAGGGATCTATGTTGTTCTGGATTTTGGGGATGGTGAAAGTAGTTTCCCACTATCCTGGTCTTCGAAGCGGCAGACAGCAGTCGCCCGTTCGACCACAGAAGCCGAACTGGCGTCCGCCAATGAAGGCGTTTTCAGGATGGAATTCCAATCAAGATTCTTTTGGAGCGTGTCTTGGGGAGTGAGGTCCGCACGGCCCTGTGTGAGGATAATACTGCGTGCATAAGTGTCATCCAAGCAGGATATTCGCCGAAACTAAGGTCCATGAGCAGAACCCACAGAATATCGGTTGCAGCATTGTCTGAGGCCATCACAACTCAGGTCATCGACATCGAGCACGTTGAGTCCAAACTTCAACTTGCGGATATCCTAACTAAAGCCCTAAATAGAATAATCTTTTTGCAGTTGCGTAACATGATAGGAGTAGGAAACCCCCCTGAAACCCAAACCTGAACCTGTAAAAACCGAAAACAGGAGGAGACCCAACCAAAGGTCCAGATATCAGGGAGGGCCAGCCCAGCTTTCGAGCGGGTGGCTAAGGATTGAGTTCAGCGCTTTTGGCATCATGCGCCGCGCTGCTGCTTCTATCAGCATTGCATGCCTTCGCTGCGGACGGTGAGCCGTAGTTTTCACCTGTTGCAAGTTGTATAGCAATTTATTTACATTCAGGTAAACTCCCCTAAAATCAACGCCTTGGAAATCACGGCGTCATACGAGACCCTAGCCGGGGGGGTCTCACTTGCCGCATGCTTAAAGCAAAGGCACTCATTTAGGGGGGGGAGCCGTACTGTGTTTCACATATCCTCAACCTTGGCAAGGTACTGGAAGTGGTCGGCGCCACTGGATCCACCATGGTCTCGTACATTTTGCCAGGAATCATCTATGTTGGGGATTTCAATCCATTTTCAGAAGTTGACGGGCAATACTCCGTCTGCCAAATCACTTTGGCTCAAGGCTGAAAATCTGAGTTCAGCCGCCTTTGCGTTCTATGAATGCTGGTGGATGTCCCAGCTTGCCATATTTGATGACACCTAGCCATGGTTGCCATGGTTCATAATCATTGCCACTGCCGTGTCAATGAAAAAAAAAACCACAATTGGTTTAAAAAACCCAAGGCATTACTCATATCATTCATCGATTCCCTGTATTTGTGATGGTTTTTCAGCCGTTCAGCCCCGCTGTTTTTTTCAATGCTGATGAGTTATTCGATCCCTATGTTTGTTTGCTTCCAAGCGGCTGCCAAATCGAATCTTTCTCCTTCATCAGCATCTCCTCGGCCCTCTGCAAGATCTTCTCCGCCTTTCGCTGGGATTTCTGGATGTAAAATTCAAAATTCGCTGAAAACTGTGGAGCACTAGAGCCTTTCTGGAAGCTTCACAAGCACCATTTCCAGCTTCTGGCAGATTCAAAATCATCATTTGGAGCCGCAAATGACTTAGCCTTTCCAACTCTAGTTCAGAGCCTTTCCAATTTGATCTTGCGACAAATCATATTGTAAACAACCATCTAATCGCAGCTCCTTTGGGCAAAATATCAAGATTGCCACAATCAAACACCTGAGACATTGACCAGCTGCCATACATACGATACGGACTGACTCGAGATGCCACTGCAGAGACCAGCATATTCTCCTAAAACTGAGACCGTTCAAGGAGATAAAATCCTAGAGGTCCTGGCACCAAATAACACCACACTGACCTATCGCAAGGGCTGTCGTTCTGTTTTCAGTTTGGGGTTGGAATTGCTGGATTTCTTCTAGTACCCTCTGGTAATCAAATGTAAGCGTGCAGTATGTCTATAGCATTTAGTATTCTATAGGTGACTATAGATATCGCTCCAAAAAGATAGGAAAGTACAATCCCACTTTTTAAAGTAGTCATAAAATTAATTATTATGTCTCTATCTTTTTCGGACAAAAAATTGCTGACTTTCCGACTTCCATGAGCTAGGCCTCCAAGACCGCACAGCCATCTCCTTCAACCTGTGCCGAAATTTTCTGTGACCCCTGGGCCATGGGCGGTTGTTTAAACAGCAAATAAAATCGCTATTTGGGGAGTAATTCCCTTAGTTTTCAGTCAATTTGGGTTCATGAATCCCTGTTGACATTCATGAATTGGGATCCTAAAATACCGGTGTCAAGATGTCAACTTATTGGAGAGGGTCCCATACCCAATGGTCATAAGTTCATGCCATGGCCCACACAGCACACCTCTGGACGGTTCGGCTGAAAGACACACGCGATGCGCGCCATCGTTTCTCCCTGATAGCAGCTGCTGAACGATTTGTGAGACTTTTCTTTGCATCGCTCGTGGTGCTGAAAGAGGCTTCAGAGATTCCATGATTTCCACTCATCATTTTGATCAGTGTGATCAGTTTTATCATTTCAGATGGAAAATTTGAAGAAAATAGAGATTCCATCATTTCTACTGAAAATGTTCTTCAAATTTTCCATCACCAGCACCAAGCAGCACCATTTCACCGACTCGATCTGTGTTTTATTGGGCCCCAGCAGGTCGTCCCTCTGAGGCTGCCATCCTGGAGATATTCCAAGAATTTCCAGGATATACCCTCTGGGTATTATGTATGGAATATCCGCATTGATGGGATGAAGTATGGGTATTATATATGATTATATGAACTTTAAACCACTTACCCTCTGGTAAATTAACAGTTGGACCCTGAGAATCACCCATTTTTAATGGAAACTCATCTTCCAACCCCGATGACTGCCAGGGTCGAACTGTTAATTTACCGGAGGGTATATTGCAGGAAAATATTCCATAAAATCTTCCAACAAATATATATATATATATATTGTTAAGATTTCAAGTCATGATAATCACCATTCATGTCCACCAATTGATGAGTCTTTCGACCTGGCCTCCTGGCACGGTGCAGGTAGTGAAGATCACCCACCTCGCCGCTCTCCAGCCTGATTTGGGGCAGTCTGACTGCACCAGGAAATGTCATTTTGCCGATCTTTGCCGCAAGAATCTCTGGCCAAACGGAACATTCCATCTTGCTGTGACTATCTTTGACCAACTCTGGGCAGAAACTTTATGAAACACTTCTGGGGCCTCAATAGGCACAATACCTAGATGCCCCATCAAAATTGGAATCTATATTGGTCCCCCAGAGAGAACGCAACGTGGTGTCTTTCCTCGTTTCAGGATTGCTCCAATAGTTCCATCTACATTGGCTTGGATAAATGAGCATAATTCACGAACCTGAATTCCGGCTACAATCCCTTTCGCCGGCCCACACCTGAATTAAGACCATTTTGGGAATACTTCCCCCTACAAGTACGAGTACGAACCATGATTTCTAGTGACGTCGCAGTGAGCTCGTTACCCTTGGGGGACCGC